TGTTCATGACAAACAATGTCACTGAAGTGCATAGCACCCTGTGAACATGCATTTAACTACAGGACTGTGAGCCTGAAAAAGCCAGACAAACAAAAAGCCCACTGCCCTAAGCACCTCTATCTCCTCAGCTGTGTGTTGTGAGAAGTAACGGGAACAAAAAAAAAGAAAAACACCTTAACTGAAACAGACCAAAATCCCAAATAACTGAAAAAAAAAAAAAAACAACCTCAGATCATTCTCTGAAAGCATTTCTGATCTCCAAGGTGTAACCTAGTGTCTTCAACAATACTTCTTGATTAGATATAATAGCAGAAGCATGGTAAATAACTTGAACTTATTCTGAACATTACCAGGACTACTTATAAGTAGCATCCTGCTAATAGCAAAAGATTGTATTTAACATTATAGTAGCAACCCCCATTGCTGCTACTGCTCTTGGAAACTCGGCAGAAAGGCTTGTGGCAGCAACCTGCTCCCACCAGTTGTGGGCGTAATGATCTTTGAGCATCTTCTGTTGGGAAGCTCAAAAGGATTTACCTACCAAGTTTTGAAACAGCAAGATGACTTTCCAAAAATCAGTGTCTACACAGCTCTAATATATCACAAACCTCCCAAGCTAGCTGTCAGAGGTGTCTCCTGGACTGATGCCATAGCACTGGGCAGTGCTGCAGCCCCCAGCACTTCTTCTTCCTCTTCCTCTTCCTCCTCCTCAGTAGAACTGCTGCTTTGAGTCTCATTTAAATCTACTGCTTCATCTGAGCTCTGTTCCTGGCTGTCCCCTGCAGTAGGCAGGGGCTCTGTAGGCGGAACTCGTCCTGCAGCTGGCTGCTGGGTCCTGCTGAATGGAAAGTAACTGTCCAATGCTGCCCTGAGTGCAAAAAAGCAAGAAACAAAAGCCAGAGTTATTTCAGAGAAGCTAAAGGCTCCACATGTTTCTCCATGCTTGTTTGTGGTTAAAATTCCTAGGCTCTGGCTACAGTAGGAAGGTATCCAAGTTAAAGACAGACCTTCTCCAGTAGAGGGGCAATCTAAATCAACCATCTGCTTTATGAGCAACCAGCAGTATCATACAGCAGCCACTCATTTTGCTCAGCTCAAAGAAAATCTCCTTGTTACAACAACTGTATTCTTCTTGGGCGGTGTGGGTTGGAGAGAAGAAAAGCAAAGAACTGTTGCTTGCTAATACCCTAAGGAACTCCTAATCAGTACCTCCAATCCTAACTCACACCTAGTTCCTATAGTCACTGGTAATATTAGATGCACAAGACTTGCATCAAAGTTTCATTCTATTGACCACTTTGTGCCTAGTCTGTCTACTTTCCTATTTTCTATCCATCCCTAGACTGAAACACTTTCCTCTCTCCCTCAGCAGTTCAGTATCATCTCAATTATCCCTCAGATTCAAAAGAAGTTTTTCAGGTTGCCTTCTAGCCCAGAGAACTACAGTGATCTTCATACACAATCTGAGGGCAAACCGTAGAGTTATGATCAATGATCTGCGAGAAGAAAAGTTCTTGGTCTCCCTGAATTTAAAAGCAATGCTCCAGTTAATTAAAATTTCACCTTTGGCATTTATAAAAGCTACAAAGACAAGATAAAACCCAAACAAACCAGTAATGGCAGTTTCTTACTGGCTGCAGAGCATCTGCACTCATCAACCTTTATACCCATCACAGACAGTATTAAGCACAGTATTTTTTCTTTGCCTGGAGGTGACAAAAATATAACTCCCTACAGGAAAATATTAGTATGGTTTGGGAAAGTTTTTGCCAAAATAGTCACCAGAAAATGTAATCAGGCAGTCCCCAAATCAAAAGTGAAATAAAAAACAGAGCACAAGCTCCTCTGAGCTGGCTGGAACTGCCAAGAGTCAACACTGCTGCAGGAAGCACCGTCAGGAATCTGGCAGAGCAGGGGGAACAGTGAGAGCAGCTTTGCAAGCAAGACGGAAAGTGCAGAAGGGTTCAGAAATCAACACAAGAAAAAGGGGGAATTTACTTAACATGAGCAAAGATTGTTTCAGAAGAGGTCAGAAAGTCTGTGCTATTCTTCAGCTTAAAAGGTACTCGAGGAGCCCAGAATTTGGCCACAGCTACACACCTGGACTGAGCTGGGCTATTTATAAGCCAGGAAGCAAGGCAGTTTTAAATGATGCCAGACTTAACAACAGTGTGGTCAGACCCGATTTCATCTCTGCTTTACCTGGCACTGATTGTCCTGTGGGAATCACCACTTCGCTGCTGGCTGCGACCTCTCCTCACCCACAGATGCATGACCTGTACCCCTTGCAGCCTTCGGAATACACCGGGAGCTGTGATAGGACACAATGGCAGGCCAGGCTCAGCAGCTCCTTCCTCTGTACCAGCATTTAGTGTGACAACAGTGTCATCAGCAGCAAGAGCTGCAGCATTATCTCCTTCACTGAGGGCCAGTGCCTGGGATGACAACACAGCATGACCAGAGGGCTCTGTGGAAGGTGTATTGGAATTCTCTGTGGAGGAACCAGCCTCTGCTTGGAGATCAAGTTCCATCTCTTCTTGAGCCATTTCTGCAAAGAGTTGAAGAAAAACAGTATTGATTTGCAAGTGTGCACTCTACTTCCAGCCTGACAGTAGCAAGAATAAGCAGTGAGTGAGTACAAAGCCTTTAGAATTCAGACTCCAGAGAAGACTTTCTCCCTTTGCAGTAGAGCTAAATCATCTCAAGTTGACACATGTGCATGAGTGGGCATAGCAGACAGAAGTTTTTGGCTTAACAGCAGCTAGCACAAAGGCACATCACAAAATCAAGTTAAGTAAGCCTCTGAATGAATATGGAAAGTTAAGGATTTCTTGCTGGCATAATTTGACAGTAAATTCATGTGGAGAACAGAGTTTGGAAGTAATGAGAGACCCTCCAGTGTGAGAGGCACTGCACAAACAGCCACAAAGACAGCCAGAAACAAGCTCTACAATGCAGTCCTTTGTTGCATTGCTCTCAGGTTGTATTTTCAAGTTTCTCTAAATAAGATTCTGTATAACAGGGCAGAGTGATCCATACCCACAGCTTACTTCACAGGCCTTTGAGGTACCTTATATTCACCAACACCACACAAACACAGAAAGGGTATCACAGCAGAACCCACATCCAAGATGTCACAGACAGCAAGCTACCTACAGCACCAGCATTTGTGGGTCCAGATTCAGTCTCAGGCTACTCTAGTCACCCTGTTCTACAGACAGTCTCACAACACTAAAGTTCAAGATTATTTTATCAATTGGATAAGTAAATTTGTAAAAGAATAAAATACTCCTTTTCTGAAGGAGGTACATGGATTACATTTCACAAACAGCTGAAAGACATTTCACATTCTCTGAAAAAAATACTTAGGCAATCATAAGCCTGAAAGGCCTTGGGAATTGAGGGCCTTTACCACCACTTACGAATCCAAAGCACACACTAAGATTTATTAGGCTAGGTACTGTGCAAACAGAGCAAAGACTGCTTTGAGTACTCAGAATAAGAAAGAATACCCAGAAAATGTATACAGGAATTACTAGAAAGACTTATTTGAGTATCACTGGCAATGCTCAAATATTTCTATAGACCTATTAAGAAATCCTAACTTAAGAATTATTTTATAATTCTTATTCCAATTAGCAGTTCAGTGTAAGTCATGCCAAACCTAGATGTTAAATGTCACCTCTCAGCAGAACAGTCGTACAGTCCAGATGTAATATTCAACGCTCAAATACTGCTTCTCCAGCATTCAGCTCACGTTTATGATAAACCTGTCACCTATAAGCACAACAGACTCTTTTATCTTCCTTGTAAATTAACCGTGAAACTGGAAAACTCCAGTCCACATTCACCACTGTGGACTAACTAACCCTTCATATGTCTCAACACACATCATCTCCAACATGACACCTTGGAGTCTTCCTGAGGGCGCAGAAGCCAGAATTTCCTCCACTCAGGATTCCAGGGGTCCCTGGGAGAGCCGCAGACGGAAGGTCTCCACCAACAGACTCTGGCCCAGACGAGCAACTCCCCAGCGCGTCCACCAGACACAGCCAGGAGGCTCCACAGACTCTCTGCAGCACTGACGTTGCGGCCGAACGCTGAAGCACCAGCTTCCCCTGGCGGAGGGCCTTCTCTCCTGCTCGGGCAAACCCTGCTCTACATCTCTAGGTGTTATAACGCCCCGCCTGCTTTAACATAAAGTTAACCAAAAGGACCCAAACACGACCCAAAACTCAGCACACGCTCCACAAGCACCTGTTTATTTCTGGCTTTTTACAAGGCTCGCTTATTTTAACCAAGAACCAGTCACACGAGCGGCGCGGGAGGGGAAAACCTCTCCCCCGGCAGCCGCGGGCAGCCCCCGCGCTCGGGACGCCAGCCCGGGCCAGCCAGCAGCGCTTCAGGCCGGAGCCCGCCATCACACAGGCCTCCCGCCGCCCTGCCCCGACGAGACCAACCAGCAGCAGGCCCCGCACTCCTCCAGCGCGGGCCGCCCCGCGACGGAGGTCCAGCCGCGCCCTCGGGACTCGGGGAATGCCGGGCCGGGCACTCACCTGCCGACGGGGGACCTCCCCAACCCCCTCGAGATGAGATCCGCTCCGCGCCGCCCAGCCTCTACCGCCCTACTGGCTAAACACGAGCTCTACGTGCCCTTCTATAGGGTAAGCCGGACCCAGGTCCGCCTTCTCATTGGCCAGCAGCTCTGTCTGTCTGTTTGACGGAAAGGAGGTGGAAAGGAAATGCGGCGGGAAGGCAGGGCTTGTTTTGATTGGCTAGAGAGACGGCTGGAGGGCCCGGCTGATTGGGCGGTGAGACCGCCAACGGAAGCGGGGAGGGCAAGGAAGGGGAAATGAGTTTCCATTGGGGAAATTCAAAAGAGCGGGAACTCGAGAGCATTCAAACAGGGTACGGGGCCCTGTCATGGCGGCGGGAGTCACCGAGAGAGGGCAATGAGGCAGCCCTGAGGCAGCGGCGGGGCTATAGCCCTGTGCTCTCCCTCTAGTTCTCTTCACGTCTCCCCAGCTGCTCCTGCCAGCCTCCCTTTGCTTCCCCCCCTTTGTACCCCCTGGAGCCAACATCTCCTGTGTAAAGCCTGTGGCAGGGTGCCCTCGCCTCAGATCCCTGTAAGGGTGGGGGGTCTCAAACATAAGTGTATTGAACAGGCAGTCTCTGTGAGCAAGAAAGGGGGGTGAGTAGCACGCTGTGTGCTGCTTCTCCCCCTTGGGTCACTCCAAAGCTCCCAGCTGCTTTCAGATGCCGGCCCATGCTTCCCAGTTATCTTCCTTGGTTTCTGCTTCTCTCCAGGTCAGACAGTGCATCCACAATCTCTGCAGAACACAGCAAGAGCATTAATTGAAACTGGCATCTAAACAGAGTGTTTGGTGGAGGCTTTCGCTCTCCCACCTCAATGGAAAATAGCTTTAAGTCATGGATAACAGCCAGGACATGGAGTCACTGTCTCCTCAAGCCAGCACAACGTTAGAATCATAAAATCCTAGCCTGTTTTGGGTTGGAAGGGACCTCAGAGCTCACCCAGTTCCAACCCCTGCCACGGGCCACCTTCCACTAGACCAGGCTACTCCAAGCCCCGTCCAGCCTGGCCTTGAACACTGCCAGGGATGGGGCAGCCACAGCTTCTCTGGGCAAACTGTGCCAGGGCCTCAGCACTGCCACAACCCAGACTGAATTCAGAGACAGTCAAATCTTCCCTCCCTTGGAGCAGTTCCTGAGATTGCAGTTTATTGCTCAAAGCCCAAGGCAGAAAGTGTTCCCACACCGCGTTGTGTTCCTCCAGTTTATGGGATCTGCAGGATCTGAGTGGGGATTAACACACACAGCCCTGCTCCCAGGTCTGTGCAAGAGAAAAAGCTTACTCTTATGTGATGCCAAGTGAACATCCTGGTGATAATTGCATAAACCTTAACTGTATGAGCCATCAATTACAGGAGGAAGAAAGGTCTAGTGTTAGTGGACTTGTTAGCATAGGAAGGTAAATCAAGGACAGATCCCAAAACACAAAACCAGACAAATTCATATGGAAAATAAGGGGCAAACTGACTGCTGCAGCAGCTGACTGGGGGATACAAAGGGCCTGTGGAGCAGATATCAAGGACACTTACCTTCAGCAGAAGGGCGTTGGGAAGGGTCAAAGGCTCGGCACTGGTCAATGACTTTCCGCAGGTCTTCAGGACAATCATCCCCAACAGGTTCCTGGTATTGGTGGTTGCAGATTTTCTCCATGATCTCCTGGGGAGTGCAGCCTGAACAACAGACATGCAAACACGAGCGTCAGGATGGAGCTTTGCTGCAACAGGAGGGTGCTGTATAGGAAATCCAGTGCAGAGCCATGCCAACAGCCTTTCTGCAGCCCTCAGCATGGAGAAGGCTGCAGAGAAGCCACCCAAACTGTGTCTGCAGTGAATTTCCCTCATATTTGGCATGACACTATTGGGCTCCAGTAGAGCAAGATGTGTTTATGCTTCAGTGCACAGGAACATCAAATAGAGACAAAAATTACTAGCATGTTTGTGGTTTAAGCATCTTGCTGAAATGCTTTACTGCGCTATATATCCCAGGGATGCTCTGGGAAGGAGCAGAGAGCACCCAGCACCAGCCAGGAGCCACACTGGACCATGTGGCTTTTACACAGGGGACCAGATACTTCTGTCTCACCTTCAAATGGGATTTTGGAGGTCGCAATCTCCCCCAGCACGATCCCAAAGCTGGAAGAAGACAAGCAAGAGTCTGAGCATTCATCCCACCGTGTTATCCTCCCTACGCCAACCGCAAACATCTGCTTATGTGACTGATTAAACCTTGGCCTTCTTCTACAGCTCAACAGCGACCCTGCCTGGCATCTGTCCGCTTACATACATCTCTCGGGAAGAACAGCCACACCTGTATATTTCACAGGGCCTCCTGTAGGGGTAGTTGATGTCTTTCAGGTTCTCGGGAGCAATATAAGCCAACATAGAGACTTGTTTCCAGTTATTCTTGGCTTTCCTCTTGATGGATGACTCCGTTTCACACAGCTCAAATCCTGAGAGCTGATTGAGAGAATGAGATAGGGCAAAGTGGCAGATGTGCAAAAGGCTGTAGAGAAAACAGAGTGAGATGTTCTGGGCAGTAAAGGCTGCCATGTGGCCACATGTGCTTCCCAGCACATGGCTCTGTCTGCAAGTGAAATATCAGGAGAAGGCAGGTGAATTGCCTTGGTTTCAGCTCATCTCAGGGTGGATGGCTCAGAAATGCTTACTTTGATGACAATAAAACAGAGATAATGATGAACTGAGGTGTCCGTGTCCAAGGTGACAGAGGAGATGGTTCTACTCTGGGTTTTATCCTGGACCATCATAATTCCCTCCAGTGTTAGCAGGCAGAGACACCCACAAAAACATGCCAAACTCCCAAAAAGTTCTCCAGGTATGGCTCTTACCTTCACACAGTAATCCCCGGCCACCAGGAACTTGCTGCTGCAGATGCAGCCATGGAGTCTGGACTTCTCCTCCGTCTGGTGCAACCTGCAGCCAAGGGCAACATATGCTGGTAATGGACCCACTCTGACCTCGGGGCTCCCTCCTGCTGCACAGGGAATGGACTGACATCTACCCAGAAAAGCCAGCAGCTCTCTATGCCTTGGTGGACCAGTCTTGCCAAGCCAACCTTTCCAGCAGGGCAAAATAACGAACCTTGTGGATAAGGACCCATAAGGGGAACTGGCCATGCTGTAGGGTGCTCCTGAAGCTGCCCTATAGGTGTGGGGAAGGGATTTTCTCCCTTCCAGGCCTTTGCAGGCTTGAAGCTGGTACCAGTGACCAGGGAAAATGGGTGCATCTAAACCCACTCCCTACTTCTTCCCCAGCCTTCTATCCCAGTGTCCAAAGGTGGTGGAAACAGCATCTGCCAGGATACCACTGCTTACTGAGAGATACCAGGAAGCTGAGCATAGCTTGCGGATTGTAAGGCAGACTTACTCACTGGTTTATGCAGGAGCTCACCTGTAAAGGCCTCTGGCAGATCCCAGAGCCATCCGAATGCGGATGTCCCAGGAGAGATGTTGTTGCTTGGTCAGCACATCCCGCAGTGTCCCGTGCTTGCAGTACTCCATGACGATGGAGAAGCAGGGGCTTCCATCTGCAAAGCAAAATTTTGAGTATTCCACCTTCTGCCACCTCTTGGGAGGGGACCATGACAAACTGAGTTGGGGACAGGCAGGGGAGGGAAAAGGTGACATTAATGTGGCACCCCCTACCTTTCTCCTCAATGCAGATCCCGTACATACGTAGGATGTTTGGAGACTCAAACTTCTTCAGGGTCTGAACCTCCTTCTCAAAGATGTCTCTCACCTTCCTGCAGAAAGGAACAGCATGGTGAGATCCCTGCAACAGGGCACAACATGGTGCTGAGCCACCCTCCTGTCCCAAGTGCCCTGTGTTGCCTCCACCCTGACAACTCACGCCGGGTCGGTGGTTAGTGGCCGCTTGAAGGTTTTGATGGCAACAGGGTACTTGAGGTACTCGCCCTTGTAGAGGTTGTAGCTCTCAGTGTCCTGCAGTTGCCTGTCGAAGGTGAGGTGGTCCCGCTTGATCTCAGTGATGTCTTCTCTTTTATCAACATTGACCTTCTTCAAGCCTGCTCCCGCCAGGTGCCAGGAGAGAACAAGGAACAGGTTACACAGATCTCAGAGGGGAAAGACACAATAAACAGGGTGCCTCAAGTTGTCACCCAACTTACAGTCCATCACACGCACGATTTTGTTCAGCTCACTTTGCATCCAGTCCACCTTGCTCTCCATACATTGCCTGTTGATGTAGATCTCCCTGGTCACGTCTTCAGGCTCCTCAGTACCTTGGGAGAGAAATGTGCAGAGGTGGGACCACTGGATGAACATGTGAGACTGATCCAGCTAGGTTTTTTCACATGGTTTAAATGTCCATCTGTCTGTCCTTGGACATGGCCATCAAGCCAAAGCTGGGCAGCAGCTGCAGGGAGGTGGCAACCTCAGGGAAAGAGGGTTTGCTAAATGCAAACTTACTTGCGATCACCTGGTCCAAGAAAGCCTTATCATCCTTCAGGTCCTCAGCGTCCTGCCTGCGGCATGTCTTTGCCTGGAAAGCCTCCAGAAAAGCCTGCTTCTGCTCTGCCTGAAGCAGGAGCGAGAGCCCCTGGGCAATGTCCTCCAGGCTTTCATTCACCCAGACAAACTCCTCACCCGTGCTGTGGGCTCTCAGGAACTTCTGGATCCAGCTGGTCTGGCTGTATTTCATCACCAGCCTCTGGGCTTCCCCCAGTGCCTCCAGCAGCTTCTTCAGCAGTTCCTCTTCATGGTAGGAAATGTGTTTTGACGGCTGAGCCTTGAGGATCCTCACAGGCTCCAGCAGGATCTGGATGCGCTCCACAAGGCGCTGGCACTGGTGCTTACAGCACTTGACCTGCTTGAATTGGGCATGGACAGCCTGGGCCACAGAGAGGACCCTCTCCACAATGTCCATACTTGCAGCAAAGGGCTTGGCCACTGGGGATGTGGACTGGCAGTGTCTAGTGGAGGTGAGCCTCAGATATCGTTCAGAGATCAGCTGGATATCACTCTTCTATGCCTTCTTCTAAGACTGGAGTAGGCACACACAGAGACATCAGTAGGAGCAGTATGGCCACATCTCACTCTGCATTAGCAGACGTTTTGTCTTGATTTATATAAATTAATTTACTGCTAGCTGTCTCCAGAGACCTTACACAGAGACTGGCTCCACACCACCTTGGGATCCTGCCCCAGAGCCTACATCTTTGACCATAAAGATCCATTTTTATTTCTAGTCAATGTCTCTCTGTTGTCACCCATCTAATGAAAGCTCTCATACCGTCACATCCACAGTGTTCTCGACTTCATATTTTCTCCCTCTAGCTCTGTATTGCCCACTTAGGATTTTCAATCAACCTCTTTCTATGTGCTTAGCATTCCCACAGGGATAGTCCCTCCTCCCCAGCCCACATCCAGGCAGCTGGGACAGAAAGCTGCCCCTGTTGCAGGGAAATGAGCAGCAGCCACCCACATCATTGGTGCAGACAGCACTAAGAGAGGGGAGCCAGGCTCTACCAGCTGGAAATGAGACAGAAACGCACCCAGAAACAAGCTCAGCTTCTTGCCCCTCCTCTTAATCACTCTCTAGCGTGGCCCCAAAGAAAGAATTAGCTCATCTGCTTGCTAAATCAGATGGGTTTACCTGGCTCTGCTTCGCTCGCCGTGGCTGCCTTCACAGACTGAGAGACACAGCCGGACCACTGCGTGTTTATAGGGTGTGTTCATAGGGTGCTTTCCCCTTCTACTCCCAGGCAGCGGAAGAGGCATTACACAACTTGCTGTACTTTCCACATCACCCCAGTTTCCCTTTCCCAGCAGCCTTCTTGGGTGTCAGAGGAAGTGGCCAGGTGGGCTCTATCTGCCTGTGCTGGGTTTTGCCTGCTGGAAGAAGGCACTATCTGTGGGAAGCACCCGGGAAGGAAGGTGATGGGAGAGGCTGCACTCCCCATATTGACACTTGTTGCTGTTTGGAACACTGCAACAATCCCTTCTGCTGTGGGCTAACATCCCTCCCCAGTCCTCAGTGGGGCTGCTGACCCCTGCCTCCTTCCTGAGGATTGTGCCACAGCAGCGGTCCCACACTGCAGCATCCCCATGGTGCGCTGCCAAAAAGGACGGAAAGCCAACCATGTCCTGGGCTGCATCCCCAGCAGTATGATCAGCAGGTTGAAGGAGGTGATCCTGCCCCTCTACTCTGCTCTCATTAGACCTTACTTGGAGCACTGTGTGCAGTGCTGGTTTCTCCAGCATAAGAAGGACATTGGAGAAGGGCAGAAGCTGTTGGAGCAAGTCCAGAGGAGGCCATGAGGATCATCAGGGGCAGAAGCACCTCCCGTACTGAAGACAGGCTGAGAAAGTCGAGGCTATTCAGCCTGGAGAAGAGAAGGCTGTGTGGAGACCTCATAGCAGCCTTCCAGTGTCTGAAGGCATCCTGCAAGAGAGGGACTCTTGTAGGAGAGGGACTCTTTGTCAGGGACTGTTGTGATAGGAGAAGGGGTAGTAGATTTAAACTGAAACGGGGGAATTTCAGATTAAATACAGAGAAATTCTTCCCCATAAGGGTGGTGAGGCACTGGAACAGGTTGCCCCAGGAAGTGGTGAATGCTCCATCCCTGGCAGTGTTCAATGCCAGGGTGAACAGAGCCTTGGGCGACATGGCATCCCTGTCCATGGCAGGCTGCTGGAACTAAATGATCTTAAGGTTTTTTTCCAACCCAAACCTTTCTGTGGTTCTATGACAAGGAGTGAGGATGCAGTGATAGGGGAGGAGGTTGGGTAAGCAGGACCTCCTGCTGAGGTCCTCACACTGGCCAGCAGGACCCTCCAGAGGACACCCATCACACACTAGGGATGCTGGTCCTTTGGGACCTTCTGCTTCCCTCCCCATCCCTGAAGCCTCAGGACCCCCCAGCGTCAATCAAAGGAAGCAGGCTGCAGGCACCCATACTAGAAACAGCGCTTGACCTCTTCGAGGAGCACAGGAAGCTTTGCAGTTGGGTTCGTCAGAGGGCCAGGCTGGTTTTGGGAAGCTTGGGGGAGCATGTGATGCTGTTGCCTAACTTCAGAGAAGTGAGCTGTGGCTCAGCCAGCTTCTGCTTACCAGGGAGCCTGGGGTCACACAAGTTTGCTGTGGTTTCCCACTGCAGAGAGCATCTCCCTCGCCATCACCATCACCCACAGCACAGATTTCATCAGCATGTGGAGATGTGAAAGGAAACCCCAAGGCACTGCAGCACCAAGGGCCATCAGCACCTGGGAATGAATGCACCCGGGCTGGGAGAATGTGGGAGGAGGCCCAAGGGATACACTAGCCAGACCCTGTTTAAAAGGCTTTATTTTTCAAAATATACAGTTTATTTACAATTGTAGTGTCTACAGTTTCACACAGAACTTTATTCCAAAACCTGCAGTAAACATTCAGGAAAAAAAAACAACAAAACAACACAAACCCAATCACAGGATCAGCAAAAAGGTATCGGGTAGTAATTCTGTTCATTGGAGCTTCAGTTTTGAGTAGCCACTGTCTACAAAACCCATGAACTTGATAAATCTGGGAGAGAGATTTAGGTTTGCACTGTTTAGAAAAAGACAAAATACAGACATAAAGTATCCCCATGCAAAGGACTGCAGGCCAAGAAAACCGTGTGTGGGATTGGGCCAGGAGAAGGATCCAGGATATGGAAGCCTCTCGGCAGAATTTAGGTGACGAAGTTAACTGCAGCGTGTTGTATGCCCAGAGAGGGCCAGAGGGCTTGAGCAAGGTTCAGGGCAGAGGAGGGAGGGTGGCATCAGGCACTTCATGTCTCAGGCAGCAGATCTGCCCATGCATCCGTGTCCTGAAGCAGGAGAGCAGCAAGGAATGGGCGGGAGTGACACAGGGAGCCCCACAACCTCCTCCTCCTCCCCTTTCCCTGCATCTTCACACCCTATCCCCGTTGGCAATACCACAGTGCACCACAGGGATGCTCCAGTGTGGGGCCACTGCTGTGGCACAATCCCCAGGAAGGAGGCAAGTGCCATGCTGAGGGCTCGGAGGGACACCAGCCCCAGCCAGGGATGGGAAGAGCCAGCAGCCAGGTGCCATACCATCAGAGCCATCAGTCCTTCTTCTCAAAGGTCTCTTCAGGGATGAGAGTCCCGAAGGGGTGATCCCAGAAGCGAGTGGTGATGCCAAAGCCTGTGGGTGGGGTAGAGAGAGCTGAGACCACAGCACCACTGGCACAAGGATGCTGCTTGGGCAGGGCACAGCTTGCTTTACATTAACTGATGAGGGAGAGAAGGGAGGAAGACAATGCAAGGGTGAGAAGAAAGAGCAGAAGGAGCTGTCTGGGCCATTCCGGCAGCCCCATGCATGATAGCTTATCTGGATGGGGTGTTTTCTCCTAGGAAACCGGGCAAAGGCCAAGTTGAGCAAGTGCCAGGTTAGGGAAGGTGTGGGGAGAGCCCGGGGGAGCCCTGGGCCTCATCTCTGCCTCACCCTGTGCCTGACAACACCTCCAGGCAGGATGAGATGCTGCTCCAGGCAGGGACAGGCACCCACATCCATGTCCCTGCCCAGGCACCTCCAGGCAACATTGGTGCCTACCAGTGAGACGGATTGCTGCCTTCACCCCTGCAACACGCCAGCTCCCCATCCTCAACCTGGGAGCCAAGAAAGGTGCCCAGTGGGGCTGCAACACCTCATACACCACTTCCGCAGCAGCATGGGTGGGCTTCCCCACCCCAAATACCGAACATTTCAGAGCATCAGCTGCACACACGCAGGGAGGTGAGGCTGTGACAGCCCTTGCTCCCTGCCAGCACACATGGGCAATGGAGCAGTACCTGATTTTTGGTGTTCAAAGTGGTGCTTGACATGATAAGCCTTCAGGCCATACAGGTAGGTGCCTTTCTTCGGTGACCCATAGTGGAGGTAATAGTGCATCATGTCATAGACGACGTAGCCGCAGAGCCCCCCAACAAACACTGATAGCCCCAGCACCTCGGGCAGCAGGAGCTGCAGGACGCCATAGAAGAAGCCGATCACTAGTGAGGCTGGCACGGGAGGAAACACCAGGCGGGAGCTGTCAAAGGGAGACTGGAAGCGGAGAAAGATGATTGGAAAGGGAGCTCCTAGCTCACCTCACATTTCCCACCACATCCCTGCGAAGCAGGCTGGGAAAAGCAAACACTAAAGCCTCCAGAAACCCTCCCCAGAAGATGAGCCCAATGGCGAGAGCAGCCACTTGCACTCGCCAAGGTGGCTGGGCAGCCGGTGGCTTTGGCTGGGAGGTCCCTGAGCTCCACAGGGACATTTTCTCCAGTGAAGCTAGAGGGAGCCCATGACTTTTGTGGTCTTCCCACTTGCCCTGACAGAGCTTTGACTCCAGCTTCTTGGAGCCCATCTTGCAGTCCATGCCAGTATTAAGTAAGGGCCTGCCTTGGGGCAAAGATGCCACGAGTCACACGTTGAACACGCACCGACAGGCTCCACCTGAGCAAAGGCCACTGTTCCCATGCCCAGTGGGTGCCAGCAGTGGTGAGCTGCGACTCACCTTGTGATGCTGCCCGTGCAGCAAGAAATGCAGGGTGATGAGATAGTAGTTACTAGCAGGTGGCTTCATGTGGAAGACAAAGCGATGGATGAGGTACTCTAGCAGGGACCACAGGAACATCCCCAGGAGGAAGATGAAGGGGAAGTAATATTTGTGGACAGGGATGGAGTACTCTACACAATAAGACATGCAGTGGTTAGCAGGGCAGGTGATACGTGAGTGCTCTTCTCCATCACCATCCTCTTCCTCATCAGCTTTCCCTCCCTTCTCACCTGTCACCCACCCCCTGCCCCAAGCTTCACCAGGGAGCTCCTCAAGCACCACTCCTAGCCACATCTTCCTTTGATTCCCATTAATTTATACTTGTTATGGAAACAGTTGGCTTCTTGCTGCCACAGGGAGCTGGTGAGGGGGGTTCCCTACATCCCAGATGGCAATGAGGGCTTGGGATGTGCACTTGCAGGGACAACCCTGTCTGAACAAAGCTGCTTCACCCTCCAGAACAAGGCAGAAGGGACCTTATCTGTTGAGGCAGCACTCATGGCAGCTAAACAGTGCTGTGGTGCTGGGTTTTTATTATTTGGGGGGAAAAAAGAACGGGTTTGTTGGGCACTTTCCCCCACAGAACATTTTTCAGCCACCTCCTCCTTTCAAGGCTGGATGACAGCCCTGCATCTTTGCTGAAAGAATTCGGATCTCCCCCAGTGTGTTCAATTTTGGGGGTGGGGGGAAAGACCCAAAACCAAAACAAAACCACCAAACCCTTGGCAGCAAGGTGTTTAATGCCGCGAGGAGCAGGAGGTTGCCAGTGCAGCCGGGCACAGCCGGCACCGGGTGGCACCTTGCAAAAAAAACAGGGAGCCCAGCAGAAGAAAAAAGGACAACAAAGACGACAGCCTGCCCCGGCCACGCTTGTTATTCCCGGGGGAGCAGACAGTGGGAGATTCAAGGGCAGGCGCTGA